CTGAGGTAGTCGTTTTTGCTACATCCCTTTGTGGGCTTAGTGCAAAGTCTTAGGTTAATTAAGCCTTGATTGCTGTTGGTACACTGAGAGGAATTGACCTCCAGGCCAATTGTCTGTGAGGATCCACTGTGTCTATAAAGAACTGCTGCGCTGGAGACACACCTTGTTTCAGTGGGGCTTTGGTGCTCATTGAGACCATCTCCCGAATGTGTCACTTGTGGGTGTGAGGGATTGAAACTGAGCACTAGAACTCTGGTTTCTGGGTCTCAATGAAGTACAGTTCAGCTACTGTCTGAGGCCAATACTGTCCTGTCCTCCTTGGATCTGTTTGCCCTAGGTTGCAATTTTGCTAAACTGCAACAGAGAGGGCCATTCATATGCAAAGTCCACTGCTTGGAGCTTGAATATGTTATGAGGGATGGAGTCTCAGGGAGGAGTCTCAGGGAGTCACTAGGCTGGGGCGTGGCCAACAGCCAGGGCTGCTGACTGCCGCCTCTCTGATAGCATCTCCACATCTCCCTGCATCTCGCACCACAGCACAGCAAACAATCTCAGCTCTGCAAGCAAGCCAGCCTCACTTTCTGACCCGATGGCAGACAGTCTAGCCTCTGCCCAGAAACTGGATTTCAGAGAGATTGGACGCTTGTCTCTCTTTGGGTTGAAGAAAGCACCGCCCTCCGCCAGCCTGGATCCACTGCCAGCCCTTATCATGTCCTTGCCCCCCACCTCAGTTTTTCAGTGCTTGTGCCCTGGATTCTTCTCTATCTCTTTCAGTCTAGATGTAGGGCTTCCTCTCAGCCAGCTTTCATTTGGTTTTTGGGAGACAGACTTTTGTTTTATAGTGTTTTTTTGGACTTGTTGTGCCCGGTAGCCATTTAGGAGTGTTTACCTACGCCACCATCTTCGTTCCTCCACATTAGTCTTTTATATATATAAAAGCCTAAGTGATCAGCCAACTGGCTGACCGACCAGTAGCTGTGATCCTCAATGATCATCATGGGGTTGGTGCTTTGACCAGTAGCTATGATGCACACTGACCACAAGAGGACAGACGCTCAATGCAGGAGCTGTTGAGCTGCATGACTTGGCAGCTGCAGTTCTTGGTGACATACTTGGAACAAGAGAGGAGGGAGCCTAGTTCTAGGGTGCGTCACCTGAGAACCACCCTCTTACAATCTGGGACCCCTCAGGGGATGTCAGAGAGCCAGTTTTGGTCCAATCCCCACAGGCTAGGCCGAGGGACTCCATCAGTACACAAATCCATGCATCTGGCCTCTAGTGTGATGATAAATTGATAAATTGATACTACCTAACAGTTATTGAGTTAGGTTCTTTAGCACTCATATGTATTAATCCATCTAGTCTTTACAACCACAGTGGGTACCAAGGAGATCCCTTTTTCACAAATGAGGAAACAGAGGCAGAGAAAAGATCCACACCTTCATCAGGATCATAGGTTTGGTAGACCAAAGCCAGGTTTGATCCGAGCATCTGACCAGGAGTCTGCTTCGTTGTGATGTAGGGCTTGATGGTCACGTGGGAAGGGCTTGGAGGGCATGGAAAGGAAAGTGATTCCCAGATGAAGGAATGGCCAGAGTTTGCAGTCAGTGCCCTGGGAATCTGTAATAAACAAAGAAAACACGTGCTGTTACCAGTGTGGGCTTGGTGAGGCTTCATCTTTTAGAATGAGCACTTGCCATGTTGGTCAGCAGAACCCTGGTTGGCCACCCAGAAGGGTTGGGAGCACGCGGGAGAAGCATCGTCTGGTGGGGATGGCTGGATGTGGTCGGACATCCTGTAACCTTGACAACTCAGTTTCGAGTGGTTTCAAAGATCATCACTTAGTAATCCCACAATCTAAGCAAGGGCTCAGAGACAGTTGGAGTCTGAAATTGAAATCCAGTCCTTTTAATAGGAAGAACATGGTAGAACTGAAGATGTCTGTGTGGCTCAGAGGATATGTTACTGAGTTCAGGCTGAAAGGACCAAGGAGGACAAGAAAAATGTCTTCTCAGGATACACATGATAGAGCATGATGAGGACCAGATAGTGTTAGGGAATGAAATCCTGGGATAAACTGAGGCTGTTGAAGAGAGCAGAGGAGAACAAAGGCTCATTACTGTTGTTTGGGAGCAAGGAGAACAAAGGCTACAGAGGCCCACTGGCTGCCAGGGCAGCTGGTGTCATGGAGGGAGGCGCAGTTTCACTTTGCCAAGGTCAGAGACCTGTCCCCCAATTTGAAAGGGCATGGGTGAGTCCAGGTGGGAAAGAAGGAGGGAGTCTATGCATGAGGTCACCTGCCCCAGAACTCCCTGGGCATGGAGTGACCCTAGAGGGGATATCACATTTCTGCAGAGGTCATCCGAGAGGCCTTGGGGTACAAGACAGAGGTGCATGGAGCCTGGTGCTGGACGAGACCAAAGTCGGATGCTGACTTGGAGAGGAGCCTGGGAGTCCATCAACAAGAAGAGATGAGCATTGCAGTCAGCAGGGGCTCACTGGGCCAAGCCATGTCAGCCTCGCATTACTGTCCATTCTGAGAAGCTCAGATCTGGTGGTTGTGGCACACAGTGGGCTGGAATTTGGTGGGGCCACAGCAGAATTTGTCAGGACATTCTCTGCACTTGCCTGAGTGATCTTACCCAGCAGCACAGGAACATGGGAGAGTGGTGACCCTCAGGGAGGCTGGAGTCATGCCAAAGTCTCAGTCAGCATCTTCATTGGCTTTTTTGCTTCCTCCTCCTCTTCCTGCCCCTCCTCCTCCTCATTATTATTGTTTTTATGTGTTATCATCTCATTTCCTTCTCTCTCCTCCTCCTCCTCATTGTTAAGATTTGTCTTGTGGCACTGATGGAAAATGGAATTGGATGGATATCTAACACAGCAGTTGGCAGTGTCCGTATTCACAGTGTTTCAAAAAGCTGGAGTGCAGCGCTGAGCTCAGCAGCCTGCTATTTGGCAGGTTGAAGATGAGTGCAATTGAGTTGAAACATGCAACTTTCCTCATATGGTTGCTGTGGAAAGTCCATGAAGTAATGTGACTGAGCCTCTGGCACGGAGACACTTATGTAGCCACAAACAATGACTTCTATTTTCATATTATGGAGGATCCTGGTAGCAAAATATTCCATCCTGCAGTCAGGCCACATATCCGAAGTTCAGTGCTGAGGAGAGGGCTGTCCCAGCTGTGGCTCAGGGCACTCTTACACAGTTCTGGCCACAGCGTCCACACATCTGTGCTTGGCAGAGGCACCTGAGCTGTGAAGGAGTCGGGATAAGGGGGTGTCTGCTGAGGAATGCGAGGTGCAGCAGGACCACAGGGAGGCATTGGTAATGCCGTCCACAATAAAATAAAATTAAGTTAAATTAAAAAAAGAAGGGCTCAGACCCCTGAAGCACAGTTTGGGGCATGCAAGGCTGACAAGGGTAGTGCAACCAGAGCGGGCTTTGGGGACACACTCTTGGGTTTCAGCCCCAGCTGCACCTCCTATTTTCAGGGGACCTGGGTAAGGTGTGGAGCTTTCCAAAACTCATGTTCGCTTGTCTGTGAAAAAGGGTGAAGATGAAGGAGGTGACACATGCAAAGCACCTATCATGGACGCCTGCCACCAAGACAGAGGGAGGAATGAGTGCCTGAGCTTCCTTTCCCATGTGGGGCATGAGCAGGGCAGGGGGAAGGAGCTGACATGAGCCCACGTGGTATTTATGTGTAACAAGCCTGTGCAAGTGCCTGGCCTGTGAAGAAACTCAGCCGTCTGCTGTCAGGTCCTCCTGGGCCTTTGGAAATTGTTTCTAATATGAAAGCTTGGAGTGTGGCCCAGCAGCACTGCTTGCCAGCTGTGGCAGGTGCTTTGAAGATGAGCTTTCCAATTTCTAGAACTTGCTGGTGGAGCTGATGAGGGAGAGGCAGGGAAGAGTGCCTCCCCAGCCGGGCTGAGGGCACCCTCTCCTCTTTAATGCCACCCTCACACATGGCCACATATACGTCCCCTCCAATCCTCGAGAGCCTACGGAAGCTGCTCTATCTGAGTGTGCGCAGTGAGTGGGCACAAGAGTTTGGTTGCCAGTTGACCAGAAGGAAAGTGGATTAATGGGAGGAGAAGCAAGTGCTGGCACTTTCAGCGAGCAGAGACAGGTGGGAGAAACTCCCAGAAACTCCCAGAGGGAACAAGCACAGAGTGGCTGACGCCAGGTGTAGCAGTGGAGGCCAGGCACAGCCCCACATCTCCAGCCATGCCTGGGTATTTGTCGCTTCAGCTTTTATCTCTCTGATGCCTATACCTGCAGGAGCTCCTGTCCCAAGTGCTTAAAGTTCTTGGCATTTCTGAGGATTGGGGGGGGGGGGGATTGGCATGCTGTGTAGCAAGAAATACAAACTGCTCCAAATCAGCATGCAAACATGTTCGAGCTGTCCACAAAGTCAGAACTGGCTGTCAGATGTCCTGTGTGCTCCATTAATACAGTCTCTGCTACCTGGATGCAGACAGGGGTGGAAACAGTACTGAGTCACGCCTCTGGGTGGCAGCATTGTGCAGTACTGTCCTTCCCTGAGGAGAGCTGAGGTGAAAGCAGGTGGCATAAAGCTCTGAGACAGGGTGAGTGTGGAGTCTACAGTAGTCGGGGTTCTTTGAATGCAAACAGCTGCCTGTTGCTTCCTCTCTCTGCAGAGGCCTGTGGTCCAAGCTGGCCTACCCAGCCGGCTCTCCAATCTCACAGCTCTTCCCTGAAGACCACAACTGCGGGAGTGCCACCCTGCTGAGCTGTCCCAGATCCCGCTAGTCAACATGGCTGCTGGAAAGGGGGTCCTGCAAACCCGGGGCTGCAAGCCAGTGCTGCTGGAGCAAACCAAGCACCCGGACTCCAAGGCTGCCCTCAGCGGCCATGGCCAGCAGGAGGCTGGCGCAGAGCTGGCACTGCCAACACCCCCGGGCGAGCTTAGACTGGGAAAAGCACTGGCCCAGATGGTGCGCTGGGAACAAGAGCAGAGCACCTTCATGGAGATGCCTCACTTCAAGAAGAGGCTTCAGGGCATGCGGGCCCAGGAGAGGGAGCATGATGACTTCACAGGCCAGCCTGGCCCTCGGCAGCGGACGCAGGACACCCCTAGGGAGCCAGCTGGCAGCACAGTCTTCGCCGCGTGGCCCAGCAGAGCTGGAAGGGAGCAGAGAAGTGCCTTTCGCAAACCAGCCAGGTGCCCACCAGGGAGACCTGGGTCAGCCTCCCCCTTCCCGGCAGGCAGACCTGCAGGTGCTCGCAGGGAGCTGTTGGGACCCATCCCTCAGCTGGCAGACATCCCTCGCTGGGCTAGACTTTCCATCTCCAAGGCTTCGGTGAGTGACTCCTGGAACCTGCAGATGCTGCCACAAAACGCTGCTCATGGCAATGCTGTCCTGGGCACCCCCGCACTGGGGGTAACTCATGCCATGCCCCAAATACCCACAGCCTCATCTTCCTTCTCCGTCTCCTGGGCCCTCTTGCCATCCGTGTTCACTTCCCTGGGCCTGTCCACCCAGAACCGGTGCGCCAAGTGCAACCTCTCCTTTCGCCTGACCTCTGACCTTGTTTCTCATATGCGGTCCCACCACCGGAAGGAACATGCAGGGCCTGACCTGCATTCGGAGAAGCTGAGAGACGAAGCGGTCGCATGCCCTCTCTGCCATGAGTGCTTCCGGGAGCACCACCATCTTTCCCGGCACATGATTTCTCACCGCTGACCGTGGCTGGGGGGCTGGGTGTGGCCAGGAGCAGGCTCCCCGGTGCCACGCAGAAAGCCCTCTGCAGCCCTCTGCGGGGCTCCGTCATCACTGAGAAAGGCAGTCCTCGGCTGGGATGTGTTTTGAGGTGAATAAACTCATGAAATAAAATGATGCACTTTGCTAACCAGAGTGTTGGGATTCCTGGGCGCAAAGTGCTTCCAACATCTTCAAGAGTGGGGCCGCCGCTGGCACCCCCCGGGCTCCATGGAGCCACGCTGGGCTTCGGAGACAGGCCAGCCTGAATTTGAGTCTCAGCCCTTTTACATACCAGGCCTCCCCTTGCACAAACTGCTCTGTCTGTCTGAGCCTGTTTTCTTACCTGCAAAGTGGAGATATGACACCTGTGGTTTTGGCTGTTATCAGGGTTCCACAGAGAGACATGAGGACACGGGCCAGCACCGCGCCTGGAACAGTGTGAACCCCGTGGAAAGGAGACTTACCATCATTGTTCGGATCAGTCAGCCGCTCTACGTAACAAAATCTAAGTGGCCAACAAACCCAGAGTATCCATTTCCCACCGCTGGTCTGTGGGTTGGTGGGGCTGAGCTGGTCTTTTCGGGGCTTGGCTCCAGGTCACATGTGCTCTGGCTCTGGAACCGATTGGCTTCTCTCATGATCACACCAGAGCACAAGAGGGCAAGTCCGCTGCCTGGGTCACTTCCGCTAACATCTCCTTGGCCAAAGCAAGTCAGTGGCCATGTTCAAGGTTAAGGAGTGAAATGTGCATGCTGCCATGGAAAAGCCAGGATGAGCGAGCGGGTGTGTCATCCACTACCTGAGTGTGAAGACTTGGGATCAATAGTCAGCCATAGTTCTCCACATTCTGCATCCGTAGCTCCCAGGAAGGAAGCGTGTGCAAGGCACAAGGCTTACCATGTGGAAGCGGGAGAGTTCTGGGTCCCAGTATTATCTCTTCTGCTTTTCCATGTTTGTCCTTGCACACACCAGGCCATAAGCCTACGGCATGCTTGGCTGTGCGGAGGCCATCTGCTGGGAGACTTTTTGGGTCAGTGCAGTGTTTTTACTGGTTTCCACTTCACTCTCAGGATTTCTTCAATCTGAGCTGCAGCTTGCAGTCCTCAGGTGGGGCCTCCATCACAGGCTCAGGCCTGTGGTTGGGAGGATCTAGTGGGGCTACCATGGGGAGCACGCCTAAGTCTGACCTGTGGGGAGGGGTGTGTGGCATCCCTGAAGGCCTTCTGAGGAGTGGGGGGCATGAACTGAGCCTCCAAGTCAGCAGTGCTGGTGATTCAGGCAGGGAGGGCAGAGGCTGTGAGAAGGGTGGTCAGAGCACAGAGGTGCCAGGGTGCTGAAGGTGGGTAGGAGGACTGGGGGTATGTGTGTGAGGGGGCCAGCCTTCAGAGGAGATGGAGATGCACCAGGGCCTCAAAGAAAGAGTCTGGACCAGGCATGGAGGTTCAGTGAGGAGAGGCACTTGGAGAGAGGGGGCCTCTGGCCTCAGAGGGAAGGGGAGGATGGGCTGGAGGAGAGGACCCCCCCCCCCAGGTGTTGCCTTTGTATCTGAAAGGAGCCAGGGGCTCCCTAAAGGCACCAGCAGAGACCTCAGTTCTCAGGGAGGCTTGGAGGAAAGGCCTGCAGGCCAGCCCTTTGGGCAGCTGTGTGGGGGCAGGGTGTGCCAGAGAGGCTGAGGCTGCTGGGAGCCCCCTCTGCTGTCCCAGGTGGGCACAAGGGCCTTTGCAGGATTGAGCCTGAGGCTCACACTGTCATTTGAGGCGTCATTTCATCCTCATGGCAGCTAGGAGGGAGTGCTTCCACTCCCGTTTTCTGCAGAACAAGCTGAACTGCCGGAGGCTAACAGACTTTCCTAAGACCATGGGTGCGAGGACAGGACCCCGGTCCTGCTCATGCTGAGGGCAGATCCTTCCTCGCCTGCCACCATCTGCTCCGAGTGCTCATATGTCCTTAAGGGAGCTTTACAGACTAGGACCAGACATTGGCTTCAGCTTGCCCCCTGCCTGCCCCCCCTTCCTATTGCTTTTCTCTTTAGCGCTTTCACCAGCTTGCATGCCATCTGTCTTGTTGGCTTTGTCCCCAACCATGGAGTGTGAGCTCCATGAGGGGTGCCGCTGCTTTGGGCGCTGCTGTCTCCCCAGCAGCGGAGCGATGCAGGCTGCTTCTGCCCACTGCCCACAATGCTCATATCAGCTTCTCACTGCGTTTTGACCTTGGCCATCTTCCTCTGGCTTACTGGAATGGTCCATAATTTCTGGGAAATCACTTTGAAAGGCATAAATTAATTATTTGAAGACACAGACATTTAGAACTGAGAGTGTAGAATTCTCACCCATTCCCTCACTTCACGGCAGTAAGCACTGCACCTGTGGGGAAGCTGGCTGCAAAGTAATGCAGGGCGCATCTGGTGAGGCTGAGCCAGGGTTCCTGAGGTGCCTGAGACCCGTCTGTGCGTCTTTCTGGCCTGCCGGACTCAAGGAACCACAGCTGTGAACTCACGGAATTATTACTAACGGTGACCGCACCACTCACATGCAAGGGAGACAGTAAAAAAAAAAAAGAAAAAGGTAAATTAATGAAAGCTAATTAAACTAATTAAACTTATGAAGAAGCACAATAAGATATCTTTCTCCAGCCCAGTTTTTAAGATGGAATTCAGTTTGCTAGAAATTGACTCTGAAGATGGACTTTATTTTGGTAAAAAGTGATGTTAATGCAAGTTGCTCTGCAGACACTGACGTTGACAAACTGAAGGTGACGCACAGAGGTGATGACTTACAGCTGATGAATGTGGCAGCCACCACTTGTCACAGTCAGGCCCCAAAGTCCTCCTGACAGTTGAATCTTGTCTCGCCATTCTTCTCTCCTGCTTTCCTTCGTCTGCTGGAGAGGAGTCACTTTTAATCATGACTTTGCCCAAGCGCCCTCTGCCACCTTCTGTACCATTTAAGTGTTGGCCAGTGATGATGCCACAAAACATCACGTCAGCAGGTAGGAATTTGTCTCCCGAAGTCTTGGGTAACAATTGCTATATTCCTTAAATTCTCTGTGTCACATTTAATCTCTGTACCTCAGTCTTTGGCTTTGTAGGATATGCAATCTGTCTTTTGGAAATTCCTCTCCTGCCTCTCAAGTTCAGAGAAAGTTCTCCAGCACCCACACCCAAGAAGGCAGCTCTTTTAACATCATGCGGTCTCCCCACCCTACCTTGGTGGCTTTGCCACTATCCCCCAGTCTGGTCTAACTTTTCTCCTCCTCCCACAGGCCCCCGGGGTCCTGGGACTTGGTGATTTTCTGACAGTGCTGTTATTAGGTAACCAGAAGCCACCAAGTCAATGAACAGAAAAGCTTGGCCAACTTCTTAGGCAAGGAGAAGGAAAAGCTACAGTGGCTAGAAAAATGGCTAATTGTATTCTAATAAACTAACTCCCAGTAGCCATTCAGTTAAGACGTATCAAAGTCCAAAAAAAATGTGCCAAAGAGGCTAAATAAGACATTTTGAATTAAAATCCATTTATTTCTCAATTTTAACACTTCCTGTTTTTATCTAGAAGTAAAACCTTGATAAGTCTTGGATCCTGGATTTTAACTTTTGGCCAACTTCTGGCTGTGGATTCTCTTCAAGTGACTATATATTAGGTTATGGAAAGTGAGGGACTCCTGCAGATTTGGGGCAAGAAGGGGAAATGACAAAGGGCAGTCCTGTCAGCCTGCAGGTCAATGTCCTGGGCAAAGGCTCAGCACCCGGCTGAGTGCAGGCCGGAATCAGCGCTGCTTGTGAAGTTAGAGGTCAGCCAAACAGGTGGCCTCTAAACTGATGGTGGGAATGGAATGCAGGGACTCCAGGAGCACAGTAGTGGGGGTGAGGGATGGGGAGAGGGAGAGGGAGAGGCAGGAACAGCCTGGAAACCCCTCAATCTGTTATGGTCCCAGTCTCGCCAGGTCCTGCTAGCCTTATCCATACTGCCTGATTCCTCTGGGCACAGGAGGAGAATTCTCAGGGTGAAAGGCAGCAAGGAGTTGTCCCAAGGAGAACTTGGTGGGTGCCTTTCTTATTTTGGAAGGTGCTCACGCCCCCTGGAGGCAGCAGGCCTCCCCTGCAGGCCACTTCCTTTCAGAGAAATGTTTGCATGTGTTGTTTTTTGTACCAGAAGTCTTGTGGGGTAAACCTCATATAGCAAGGTATAAATCCCGTAGAAAGTAAACCTTTTATTTAAAAAGTAAATCATTTTTCTGATGTATTTTGATTTGTGTCATTTCTTAGGAGAAAGTAATTTATTTGGCAACAATTTTGAATGGGGACTGAGGAGTCAGTGCATGCTGAGAGAAGGGTTGGGATTCTTTAAATTCAGCTTTTCCTTCCCTGACCATCCGTGCTTTCCCAGGGCCGGAACAGGACACCAGCGGCCTCTGCTGCCCTTGCTATTCCCAAGGGCCTGGGCCAGGAGGCTGTTTTTAGCACTGGCTGCCCTGGTGAGCAGGGCAAAGAATGGGCCCGGAGGCCAAGTGGCACTAACTCCATGGGACCAGTAGGTGGAGAAGGTGGCAATGGCCCTGCCCAGTGGGGAAGTTTTCCTTGTCCAGCAGTGTACCATGGGCCATGTAAGTTTTCTTTTTGAGCTGTGTCCCCTGTTGCATGAAGCTGAGTAGGTACCCAGGGCCCACAAAGGTGGCCACTGGCTGTGTTGGCTGTGTGGGCAGATGCAGGGCACAGGAAGCAGGAGGGCGCTGGGAGACGAGCTGGGCCTCCCCTGGTGTCTCGGGTGCCTCCTTCACACTCCTCCTGGAGAGGTCCCTGCCCTGCTTCCCAGCCGGCTGAGCCAAGCCTCAGGACGCTGACAGTGAAGGTCACCTTTCCTTTCCTCTTCTAACTACAGAGAGCATGGCAGGCTGTGGCCCAGAAGTGGGTCCCGGGAACCAGAACTAATGAGGCGGGTCCGTGAGCCAGGACAAGTGGAACAGGGAAACCGAGACAGACAGCTGAG